GTTTCGAACTCCTGACCTCGAGCGATCCGCCCGCCTCAGCCTCCCAAAGTGCTGGGATTACAGACGTGAGCCACCGCGCCCGGCTATATCCATATTTTTTAAAGTACTAGATGTATGATGTATAATTTTAACATTTCTAATGATATAGCATACTTTTTCTTACATAAACAGTGTGCGTCTGTTAAATGGAAAAAGTCTACATTTGTCCTTTTTCTATAGTTATTGTTAGAGAGCATATCTAAAATCAATTTTAATATAAATCAAATATCTGATAAAAATACTTCTAAATATTCTAAACTATTTTTAAGGGGAATTTAGAATACAGGCATACCTCTGTGATACTGTGGGTTCAGTTCCACACCATTGCGATAAACCTAATACTGCAATCAAGTGAGTAGCATGAATTTTCCAGTTTCCCAATACATATAAAAGTTATATTTATACTATACTGTAGTCTATTAAGTTTGCAATACCATTGTGTCTAAGAGAACAGTGTATACTTTAATTAAAGAAATGCTAATGGTCATCAGAGCCTTTTAGCGAGTCATAATCTGTTTACTGGTGTAGGGTCTTGCCTCTGTGTTGACTGCTAACTGATCAGGGTGGTGGTTGCTGAAGGCTGGGGTGGCTGTGGCAATTCCTCAAAACAAGACAAAAATGAAGCTCTTGTATCAGTTGACTCTTCCTTTCATGAAAGATCTCTGTAGCATACAATGCTGTCGGACAGCTTTTTATCCACCATAGAGCTTCTATCACAATTGGCGTCAATTCTCTCAAATCCTGCTGCTGCTTTATCATCCAAGTTTACATAATATTCTAAATCTGTGTTGTCATTTCAACAATGTTCACAGCATCTACACCAGGAGTAGATTCTATCTCAAAACTACTTTCTTTGCTCATCAGTAAGATGCAACTCTTCATCTGTTCAAGTTTGATCATGAGAGTGCAACAATTCAGTCACATCTTCAGGCTCTATTTCCAGTTCAAGTTCTCTTGCTAGTTCCACTACATATGCAATTACTTCCTCTACTGAAGTCTTGAACGCTTCAAGGTCATCTATGAGAGCTGGAATCAATTTCTTCCAAATTCCTGGTAATGTTGATATTTTGATCTCCTCCTCCCATGAATCATGAATGTTCTTTAATGGCATCGAGAATGGAGGATCCTTTCAGGATGTCTTCAATTTACCTTACTTAGATTCATGAGAGGAATCACTATCTATAGCAGCTATAACTTTATGAAATGTATTTCTTAATGAGACTTGAAAGTCAAAATTATTCCCTGACCCTGGGCTGCAGAATGATGTTGTGTTAGAAGGCACGGAAACAACATTCATCTCCATCAGAGCTCTTGGGTGACCAGTTACATTATCAATGAGCAGTAATATTTTGAAATGAATCTTTTTTCTGAGCAGTAGGTCTCAACAGTGTGCTTAAAATATTAAGTAAACCAGGCTATAAACAGATGTACTGTCATCTAGGCTTTATTGTTGCATTTATAGAGCACAGACAGTAGATTTAGCATAATTCTTAAAAGGCCTAGGATTTTCAAAATAGACAATGAGCACTGACTACAACTTAAAGTCACCAGCGGCATTAGCTCCTAACAAGAAAGTCAGCCTGTCCTTTGAAGTCAGCCATTGCCTTCGCCTCTTTAGCTACGAAGTCCTGGATGGCATCTTCTTCCAATGGAAAGCCATTTACTCTACACTGAAAATCTGTTTAGTGTTGCCACTTTCATCAACTATCTTAGCTAGATCTTCTGAATAACTTGCTGCTTCACCTTGTACTTTTATGTCATGGAGATGGTTTCTTTCCTTAAATCTCATGAACCAACCTCTGCTAGCTTCAAACTTTTCTTCTGCAGCTTCTTCAACTCTCTTAGCCTTCACAGAATTGAAGGGAGTTCAGGCCTTGCTCTGGATTAGGCTTTGATCTGGCGAATGCTGTCGCTGGTTTGATCTACCCAGACTACTCAAAGTTTCTCCATATCTGCAATAAAGCTGTTTCACTTTCTTTATCATTTTTGTATTCACTAAATTAGCACTTTTAACTTCCTTCAAGAACTTTTCCTTCGCATTCACAACTAGGCTGTTTAGCATAAGCGGCCTAGCTTTGGGCCTATCTCAGCTTTTGATATGACTTCTTCATTAAACTTATTTCCAGCTTTTCATTTAAAGTGAGAGATGTGCAATTCTTCCTTTCACTGGAACATTCAGAGGCCATGGTAGGGTTATTAATTGGCTTAATTTCAATATTGTTGTGTTTTAGGGATTGGGGAGGCCTGAGAGAGAGAGAGATGGGAGAAGAGGACGGCTGGTCAGTGCAGCAGCCAGAACACAAACATTTATGGATTAAGTTGGACGTCTTATATGAGCGTGGTTCATAGTGCCCCCAAACAATTATTATTGTAACATCAAAGAGCACTGATCACGGATAGCCATAATAGATACAATAATGAGTGTGAAATATTGTGAGAATTAGCAAAATGAGACCATAGTGACATGAAGTGAGTGCATGCTGTTGGAAAAATGGCACCAAGAGACTTGCTTAATGCAGGGTTACCACAAACCTTCAGTTTGTAAAAACTGAAATATCTGTGAAGCTCAATAAAGGGAAACACAAAAAAACAAGGTACGCCTTCTATTAATATTAGACATTAAAGTTGTTTGCAAGTCAAAAAAATATCGGAAAATAAAGTGGTCCAGTACACAAAGTCCCAGCTTAGGAAATCAGAGAAGCCCTGCCACTTGCTAGCCATGACACCATAAAGAAATCACTGAAGTTCTCTAAGCCTCAGTTTTCTCATCTGTAAAATGAGAAATATAGTAACTCTGATACAGGCAGGGTAGGGTCAAAACTATGAAAAGAAAGGATGAAAGAAAAGAAAAGAACCAAAACAAACAAACAAAAAAGATGACAAAGAAAAAAAATCAGTTATATATAATAAAAGCACTGTATAAATTATGATGTGGTAAATAAATATCGGGTTTCAGTAGACTCTAGGTGAACACATCTCTACTTCTATGCAAATCCTCAAATTTGCACATTCTATTGCATCATATCATCTTCCTCATAAAAAATGTGTTGTCTGTCTAAATAGAACTACCCTTTTTTGGCTCTTCACTTCTTTGTTCCTGACCAAGAAAAACCACTGTAATCATTTCATGAGACTTACTGCATCAATGGAAACAAGCTAGGGAAGGATTTGATGCTGACTAGGTTGCAGGAGTCACTCACTAGCTGGGTGATTCCCCCAAGCACACTGGCCTGGCACTGCCACTCAGCTGAAGCAAACGTTCCTCCAGGAGGCGGCTCTCCAGCTGTACTTGTCTACCGGCTGACACCACAAAAATAAACTCACCAACAAAAGAGTCCCTGTGTTTTGAGACACAAGCCAAAGGGCTGTTTGACAGGAAGTTTGTACGCTCATTTATACTTTTGTAAAAAGAAATTAAAGTTCCATCAGAAGATGTTTCTCCAGTTAGACTTATTAGCAAAGATATGCAAACCCTCAATGCACAAGACAGAGGAAACTGACTGGCTGCAGGAAAGCCTCAGGCTTAATAAGGAGCCGTCAAAACTGCTGACATTCATTCCAGTAACACCCTGGAGAACCTCCACGCTTCTCCCTGGCCTCTTAAAATGTCCTTAAGACTGGGGAAAAAGTATTCTTAGTATGCTCCTCTCAGCTAAGTAACTATTGATCAAAATAAATAATGATAAAATACATGACAATAATATCTCAGGAATTGCTTTTAAGAAGTTTACCTACGAGTCTAGTATGTAGCAGATGACGTATTAACATTTATTAAATGAATTTTAACTGCTTGTGATGAATGCAAACAGAAACCAACAACATCATGTTTGAAAAAGGGAGACAACAGCAGAAATGTCTTGTATATTTTAGGAAGCAAACACCTTATCCAAATACTTACCATATAGGTATAATCTCATTATAATAAGCAATCTCCAATATGTTTATATTTTTAAAAAACTAATAAATACTTTGATAGAAACAGTATTCCTCACTTCTAAAACTAGGAGAGGAAGTCTTTGACAGTAAGTGAGCAGGCAAATAGAAGTGTTTGTGAAGATAGTCAGACGGAAAACAAACCTTCCTGACACTGGTCCGCCATCTGCATTTACTTATTAGCCTTGAAAGCAGAGATGAATAATAATGCTGACAGTAGGAAGGGGGCTTAGAAAGCAATTGTTACTAGACAACAAAGAAAAGACTTCTTAGGAGCACATCTGTAACTCTGGTCAATTCTCACTTCTCCATCTAGAAAAAACAGCACATTGGAGAGAAGACCACGACTCAAAAGGACTTTTGGCTAGACATGGCCCAGAGAAGGCTGTTAAAATTATAAAGAATATGCTCAAATCCGAGCAGAATATATACTTAGTACAGGTCATCAGCTCCCACAAGGAAATAACTTTGTTATGAATATTTATTCATTATAATGAGAGATGTCAGAAAGGGATTGTACTTGCATACAACATTCCAAAAACTAGCTTCATTATCACCAAAAAGAACACGTGGTCCTGCTGCTCCAAGCAAAGCAAAGGAAGACTTGTACAGATGAAGCTTTCCTAGAAAATTCCATTTAGCCAAAGTCTCAGAAGGGCTCAGCTCTAAAATCCGCCTGCTTATTGAGAGGAAGGAGGGAATGTGTGAGCACCACCAGCTCTGGGAAGAAGCCTGACGCTCCAGCCATCAGAGCCTTAGTCACAACGTCCTTTTCCAGGAATCCTCTTGGCTGCTGCAGCCCTGCCTGAACAGCTTTTACTATTGTCACCTTATTGAACACACAATAGATATCACTGCCTTATTTCATTTGAAATGCTGTGTTCACTGCAGAAAATTTGAAAATACGGCAAGCGAAAAGAAATAATCCACTGCCATGCCCTACCCACCTCCACCCAATAATTACCTTGTTAAAAAAAGCTTTTCATTTTTAAAAGAAAAGAGTTAAAAGAGGCGAGGTCCTAACTTACCTGAAATTATTGCAGCCAAGGACGACCCCAACGATGTTCTTGCCTATGTCGTGCACGTCTCCTTTGACGGTGGCCAGCACGATGGTGCCTTGGTAAGGGTCCTGGGGAGTAAGTGGAGCCGCTCAGCATGGCTGGGCGTGGTCAGGGCAGATCACCTGGTTCTCCAAGCCATACAGGGCCAGCACAGAAAGTAATTTAATACAACCAAGGCAACCTCAAAAACAGACCCAAGACCCAAATCCCACGCTCTGCAAGCAAAACATAGTAAGCCCGAGCAGTTCCAAGGAGGCCCGCCTCGCTGGCTGGCCGAGGGGCTTGAAACCAAGATCATGGTTCAACCAACAGTTGAAGTTCAAACACAAAACAGCCCCAGCGCTGAAGACAACATCCTTAACTGCCAAAGATTGTTTGACAAATGTATATTATTAGCAGTTAAGGGAGAGGAAGGAGTTGGTTAAGCGTCTGTGTATGTTCCATCAAAATCTGAGAAACAACCCAACAGCCCATGCAGATGGCATCTGATTCACTTTCTGGTCATTTTGTGCACTGTCAGCTTGTCAGCATCCCCTCCCTCAAAAAAAAAAAAAAATCCTCCTACTTGGGACCTATAATACATACATACATACACAATCAGAGAGAGAGAAAAAAGGAAAAAAGGCAAACAAAGCAAGAAGACTTTTTATAAACACTACATCTGAGCCATTCACAAACTTGGATCAATTTAAGAATTCAGAATCCTGGAGGCCAAAGCTAACTGAGCTTCACAGGGAGCTAAACAAGGTCAGAAGGCTTAATGATTTACTCAGGTGGTGCAGCCAATAAGAATTAAATTCAATCCAGAAGTGGTGCCAAGGACATCACCGGGGGAGAGAGAGAATATTCAGGTGAGAGTTTTCCAGAAACAAACATTACCCAGTTACCTCAAGGGCAGGGGCATAGCTGTGTAGCTAGCATCTAGCACAGCACTTCCCACATAGTAGAAGTTTTGGAAATTGTCAGTTAATGAACAGGCAAAGGAATGAACTGGTTTTTGTCTCAAAACCATGGGCTCTGATTGAAAAATGTCTATATTAAAAATTTCATAAAGCCACGTTCAAACGAAAATCCCAGAGTATGCTGACACTTGGTAGAAAAGGGGAAAAGATGTTGGATCATTTCTTGACTTTTCTCTTCAGTGACAAGCGCAGCAAGCCTGGCTGCTTAGGCCCTACCCCCACCCCTTGGCAAGCATCTCCCGGGCCAGTTCCTTAAAGGCACACGGCCTGGACAAAAAGACTTGCCTCTTCCTCCACTGTGCCATTAAGCACTCTGGTTTCTTCTCTTTCTTTTTCCATGAAGGGGATGAGGTGGCCAACAGCCTTCTTCATGACCCGGGCTGACTTTATAACCTGAGAAAAAGAGCACAGAGTCAGGCGTCTTTTCCAAGCCACAGGAACGACCCTCACGGCCCCCTGCGACATCTCAGCACAAATCAAGGACGTGTGCTTTGACCTCAGGCCAGCTGCACCGGAGTCTGCTCTTGACAGTGGGCAGGACGAGGAGTAAGTTCCCTGCAGGGAGAGCCAATGAATCAGGCACAGCAGAGGGAAAGCAAGATGCGAAATCAAATGCAATTGCTGGCCTCTGACCTTGGGCTTGCTGTTGTTCTCTCTAAGAAGGCCTTCTATCACTTCTTCCAGTTCTACGTATCCTTCAGGTTCCAGGCTTCCCTCCCATAAGCTCCTTCCCAGCCTTCTCTTCACAATCCCCAGCACTACAACTCACTTAAAATTACACCTTAAGCATAAGCAAGAAGAGCACCTTTCAGGTTTCCACATGTCTCTCGGCCACTACCCTAGATGCTCAACAGTATTTGTTAACCCATGTGGTTAGTTAGCCGCTGTAAACCAAACAGAGTTCTGGTTTTACTTGAAACATGTCGTTTAATGTACCATTATTTAAAATAGTAATATTTTTCTCAAAATATGCATCTTTAAAGATGAACACTGGGCTGGGCGTGGTGGCTCACACTTGTAACCCTAGCACTCTGGGAGGCTAAGGCGGGAGTACTGCTCAAGGTCAGGAGTTCGAAACCAGCCTGAGCAAGAGTGAGACCCCGTCTCTACTAAAAATAGAAACAAATTAATTGGCCAACTAAAAATATATAGAAAAAAATTAGCCGGGCATGGTGGCACATGCAGCTACTCAGGAGGCTGAGGCAGGAGGATTGCTTGAGACAAGTAGTTTGTGAGGTTACTGTGAGCTAGCCTAATGCCACGGCACTCTAGCCCAGGCAACAGTGAGATTCTATTTCCAAAAAAAAAAAAATTTTTTTTCAGATGATCTCTAACCTCCACATCACTGAAAAGATTTATTTTTCCAGACTTGGCTACTAAATACAGTCAGAGAGGGAATGACCAGATAGATAATGCCCTCAATCTCTTGTCCAAATTAAAGCCTGAGAAATATATCCCAGACCACCATTTATTAAAAGACACAGGAAAGATTAAATTGTGAAAAGGCACCCCCATCTTTTGCCAACCTGAGGTAGAAACATTTTTCCAGCTCCAAAAAGTTCACCAACAATTTTCATGCCATTCATCAGGGGTCCTTCAATTATATTCAGAGGTCGGGGATATTTTTCCTGGTTTAACCTGGCTTCCTCAGTATCTTCAACAATATGTTTTTCAATGCCCTATTAAAAAAAAAGAAAAAAGATCACATTAAAAAATTGGCTTGAATCCAAACATCCAACAAAGAATGAATCATGGAAATGCTTAAAAAAGAGCGTGGATTCCAGAATCAGACTGCAAAGGTTCGAATCTGGCTCCCAACACTAATTTTGGCAATTTATTAAGCCTCAGGTTTGTCAATTATAATATTATAATGGTATAATATTATAATTATATAATAATTATAAAAGTGTACTTATAATAGTAAAATTACATAATAATTATAAGTGTTATGATATAACACTGTTATAATATTATAACAGTATAACAAAATTATAATTTTGAGGATTAAATGAGATAACCTATGTGAAGTACTTAGGTGGCATTATTGATGCAAAGTAAATACCTCATATACTTCAACAAAATAATATGCTGTGCACAGTAAATACATGTAATTTTATTTCAATTTAAAAATATTTTTTAAAAAGTATCTCAGTTAAAAGTGAGCTATTATTGAGAAGAGGAGGACTGATAAGTTCAAATGCGTAATAAAATACATTTTATACTCTAGTGTTTAATAAATAAATACCTGTGGTGACATCAGTGTGCTGTCACACTGTGGGGCTGGGGGAGGAACAGCACCGGGCGGGGCCCTTGAGTGTAGCTCAAATCCATGAAGCCTCCACTGACTTCTCTGGCGTTCACTGACAAGCCCCCAGAGTCCCCAGTTCAATGACTCCTGGATGTGGCTGACTAGTTCCACAAACTGAATCTCACAAGGTCCCAGAGTTAAAAGTTAAATTCTAGAGCCAAAAAAAGAACTACAAGATTCTCCAGGCTGGGCACGGTGGCTCACGCCTATAATCCTAGCACTCTGGGAGGCCGAGGTGGGAGGACTGCTCAAGGTCAGGAGTTCAAAACCAGCCTGAGCAAGAGCGAGACCCCGTCTCTACTATAAATAGAAAGAAATTAATTGGCCAACTAATATATATAGAAAAAATTAGCCGGGCATGGTGGTGCATGCCTGTAGTCCCAGCTACTCGGGAGGCTGAGGCAGTAGGATCGCTTGAGTCCAGGAGTTTGAGGTTGCTGTGAGCTACGCTGACGCCACGGCACTCACTCTAGCCTGGGCAACCACAAAAAAAGATTCTCCAGAATTCACAAATGAGGAAGCCAAGAGATTATTTCTTACCTAAAATTCCAACTGTCCGTAGCAGAGCCAAGACTGACTCACTAACTGACAGCAACTTGGTCTAGGACAGGGTTCTCGGCATTAGCACTACTGATGTTTGGGCTGGAAAATTCTTTGTTGTGTGGGGCTGCCCTGTGCACAGTAGGATGTTTAGCAGCACCTCTGGGCACCGGATGCTAGTAACGACTCCCAGATACGATTGTGAGAACCAAAAATGTCTCTGGACACTGTCAAATGTGCTGCTGGCAGGGACAGGAGGACCTGCCCAGGTTGCGAAGGGCATCTCCTCGTCTAGCTGCCGCCAGCACCACACCTCCAGCCATGGCGCCAGACAGCCAAGACGAGCAGCCCGGCCCCCAGCTCCGGCCCCAAGCTCACCTTCACAAGGGCGTACTCCAGGCGCTCTTCCACGGGGCTGCTCCTCCACTCATCAGTCTGGATGACTTTCTTCCCTCCTTTGCCATGCGTCTGAATTGAAATTAGGACCAAGAAATGGGTACAACTGGTCACTTACTGAACTGTTCAACAGAAAAAGAAAAAACAACACCTGTGTCCTAGTCTCTGACATTTCCAGCCCCTAGTAGAAGGTCCAGCATGAAACATGATCTCGATAAATGTTTGAGGGAAGGAGAGGGGGAAAGAGAAAAATCCTATAGGATTTGAACTTTAAGACAGAGTAAGGCTCCATTTTTTTTCTTTCCTTCTTTCCTAAAGATAATAACTTACGATAATAACTTTCCTAAAGATACTATCTTTCCTAAAGGTAAAACTATCTCCAGGACAGTAAGAGAAGCTATACTCCAAGGCCAATGAGCTTTCAGGGCTCTCAACAAGAACGACCATTATCACCCACAGACAAATGTGGAGAGGCCATGATGAAGGCGAGTCATTATCTTGGGGGTGGGCACACCAAGAGGCGTAAGACAAGGTCTATGCTCTTGAGGACTTTGCCATTTCTACGGTTTGACTGTGTCCTCCTAAAAGTTCATGTGTTAGAAACTCAATCCCTCTGCCCTCGTGAAGGGCTCAATGGATTAATGAGGGCTAGATTGATACTGCTATCATGGGAGTGGCTTGTTATCTCTCTGGCTGTCTTGCTCTTGCCTTCTGCTATGTTATGACCCAGCAAGAAGGCCCTCGCCAGATGCCAGTTCCGTGCTCTTGGACTTCCCGGTCTCCAGAACTGTGAACTAAATAAACTTCTTTTCTTTTTAAATTACCCAGTCTTTGGTATTCTGCTATAGCGACAGACAACAGACTAACATGGTCATAAATGAGGGAGGTGGAAAATATAAAGGAGTTTTAAGGAGGGAGTGGTCATCATAACCGGGGGTGGGGAAGAAAGTCTTCAAAGAAGCTGGGTCTTGAGAAGGAACAGGTTCAGCAAAGGGACCAAAGTGCAATGATCACGGCACACGTGGTAAACGGCACTACTTTATTGTTTTCTCCATCCCACCTGGTGACACCAGCTGCCCAAACCAGAACCCTGAGTGTCATCCTTGAATCTCCGTTCATTCCCCATGTTCAACCACCTCATCGTGATGATTCCCGCCTCCTCAGCATTTTCTCTCCACCCCACTTCCACTTCCACAGTCCAAAAACTAACTGGGCTCCACAGCCCAGAACCGCTCTGGTGTCCGATTCATCTTCCACACTGTGGCCAGAGGGGCCCAGCCAACATGCAAGTCTGATCCAACTGCTCCCCTGGGAAGAAACTCGTATTTCCAAGTTCCCTGTGGCTCTCGGCACACAGTACCAACTCCTCATGCCTTCCTTTGCCCTGGTCGGGCTTCATCTTCTGATGACATCTTCATCTTCAGACTCATCCTCCACCATTCCTGACAAACTTCAGCCATCTAGAACTTTTGAGTTCCTAATATTCTCCATCATTGTTTCGCCTCCAGACCTTAACATTGCTAACCTGATATACGTTTATTCAGCACCTACCAAAACGCCAGACTCTGGCTAGATGCAAATACCCTGCCCTGGCGGGGCCAGCAGCACCACACTCTGACCCCGGACCATGGCCTGGCTGCTTCCCATTATCTTCCGACACTCACTCACCCATCACCCCCTCTGGGAAGCTTTCCCTAACCCCCTACTTTTGCGGTCGGTGACCCCAGCGGCATTCCCCCAGCATCCTGCCCTTCCCCTTTGCAGCACTGGCCACACTGCACGACAACTGCCTCTGCGCTTTCTGCATGCTGTACTGCGCTCCAGGCTCTGAGAGGGTAAAAGCACATCTCTCTTACCAGTTAGATCCCCTAAGTTCAGCAAAGTGCATGACCCAAAGCGAGATTTCAGTAAATATTAGCTGGATGAATTAATGCTGAACAAAAACTGGTTTTGCTGGAGCGATGTTTGCATAGGATGGAGAGGCCAAATCACAAAGGGCCAAAAATCCACGCAGTGGAGTTTGAATTTAACCTTCCAGGCAACTGCGTGGGTACAGAGGGGATACTATTCAAGGTTCTGAAGCTACAGAGTAATAATGAAAGTAGCATTTTTAAGGGAACCTCAAAAAAGGGAGAATATTTTAATAATCCATGACGAAGACCTGGACTCAGTGGTGGTAACAGCAGGGCAGGAAATGAAAGGGCATTAAGTAACGGACAACTAGGAAGGAACTGGGGACAACTCCAAGATTTACAGCCAGAGTGGTAAATGGAATAACAGTAACACAAGGGCTCTCTCACATACTGAAAAATCTAAACGAGAACACTCTTATTTATTTTTTAAATCTCCTGTTTTAGTATAGACTGACTAAAAGAGATTTAAAAAATAAATAAAATAAATAAATAAATAGTCCATTACTCCCCAAATGTGGGGGTAAAGAGCCTTGGAGGATCAGGGTGAGTGTTCTTCCCAACATTTTCAATGATATATCAGACAGGACTTAGATATAAACTCATCATTTAATGACAATAAGACATAATCATTCTCTTACAAAGAAAAAAACATCCTAGGCCAGGCGTGGTGGCTCACGCCTGTTAATCCTAGCACTCTGGGAGGCCAAGGTGGGCGGATCGTTTGAGCTCAGAAATTCGAGATCAGCCTGAGCAAGAGCAAGACCCCATCTCTACTAAAAAAAAAATAGAATGGCCAACTAATATATATAGAAAAAATTAGCCGGGCATGGTGGTGCATGCCTGTAGTCCCAGCTACCCGGGAGGCTGAGGCAGGAGGATTGCTTGAGCCCAGGAGTTTGAGGTTGCTGTGAGCTAGGCTGACGCCATGGCACTCTAGCCTGGGCAACAGAGTGACACTCTGTCCCAAAAGAAAAAAAAAAATCCTCAACCCTTATTTACCTCATAATATTCCTGCTTTTCATGCTCCATTTGCACCAGTGTATCCTCAAGAATTGCTACAGAGCCAGCCACTCCTGGAAGTTACTAGAGTGTACCTGTTTTGGTTATTAACACATTTGACTGTCACACTAGAAAAAACCTTTCTTCTTAGGGCCATGGTGTTTTATTATGAAAATAGAATAAAAACTAGGAAAACAAAATGATCCTTTCTAATTTAATGAAAAATGAAATTTATTGACTTCTATTCATTTAATCCACATTTTTAGAATTGATTTGTCAGTGTTAACTATAACAATAAGAACATCAACACGTTAAGATTTTCATGAACCAACTGCAGGGTTTTTTGCCCAAGTTTTGCTTCACAAGGCCCTGGGCTCAAAATTAGCGTGAGTTAACTACAACTCACATGGCAGTTAATGTGTTAACCCCCTTAATAGTAAGAGAAGTCACCTTGAATGTAGACAGCCTACCTGACAGAGGAGTCAATGGCTTATAATAAGTCCTTGTGGTTACATTAAGAAGGAGGAAATCTTGTATGATGGATTGTTAAGCTCTTGCAATTGCTATTAAGATCTTCCTCACTTGGGCTGTGCCTCCAGGGGCCAAATTTCTTGGCAGCTCAGCATGATATACAGAAACAAAAACTTGTAAACAAGAGCTGAAAGTGAACACAGACCAAAAGGAATGCCAGAGATAGAACACAGTGTCAACAAAACCTTACATGGGAATGGTCTTACAAATAAGTGAGGGAGCTGCTTCCTCCAGACAGGTGGGAAAAGATGAAAAAGCTCATCATTTCATAGGCTAATTAAAAACTCACTAGGATGACTTCATGATTACATAATAGAAGTTATGATGCTCCTTCAGCCTTCAACAGAATTCTATCTTCGAAACAAAGGGCCCCCTACTAGGTGGAAGACAAGCTACTCTGAAAACTGAATAGTGTTTAACACCCTATCTCTACGTTCAAAGAATAAGAAAGGCCTAAGCTCTGCCTATGTGAGCAGAAATAGCCACAGACATAGAAAGAAAGAAATATAGGGAGTGTTTCTTACATAATGAGCTGAGAAGCAGAACTTGATTATGTTTGCAACAACCAAGACCTGAGACATGCTGTCCCGGGTCCCTGTGAGAAAGCAGAAGCGTTTTAAAGCACACAGAGGAGGGTCACGTGCACACTGGCCCAGAGCCTGAACTCCCTGAGGCTTCCTTCCATGAGCAATTTCAGAAATCTGGGTCTTGCCACCAGTAAGGCTGATAAAACAAGGATGCAGTTCATCCTATATGGTCCTATCCTTCTTCTAGAACATTTTATTACTCTTCTGCGGAAGAGGAGAAGTCAGCAGTTCTGTCAGAGCTAAATTCAGATTCTAACATGGAAAACCTTAACAAAGTTGGCAACAGACATAAAAGCATCCTATCGCTTTTCCAACATGCTCTGTGGGGAAAATGTTTTTCCTTGCCATCATTCTCTTAAACAGATTAAGATGCACGTTATTTTGAGTTAAAGATCTCTTTTTTGTTGCTACTGTTATAAACACACGTGTTTGGTGTATTTGGAGTGAGGGGGCGACACAGGCAGAGAGAGCTGATATAGGTTTGGAGGCTGAAGGCCCCAGACAGACTGCCCAGCAGGGCAGGCCGGGCAGCATTCTGGGGCCTGTAACACCTGGTTGGTGGGCGAGAGCTGGCAGGTCCGGTCCAGGGCTGGAGGGGCCCAGGCACAATGGAGGCTCCCTGGTCTGGTCCCAGGTCCTGGGCAGAGGTGACACCCAGGCTCAACATAAACCAGATTCTAACATAAACAGGTATAAAAACCTAAATGTTTCAATGAGGAGCAAGTAATACTAAAACAGTCACACAAGAAAATCCAAAATAGCCATTTTAAATAAGGTAGAAAAACATTGAATAAAATGAAAACATGATCCCAGTATACTGCCAAACAAAGCTGTTACCAAAAACAGCACCTAGAGTATTGTTTTACTTTTGTAAAAAAATGTGTTTGTACCAATGACTGCATATTCATTTTGCAAAAAGATAAAAGCCCACAGGACTAGAAGGTTATGACAAAATATCAACAGTGGTTAACTCTGGGTGGTGGGATTATGAGTGATGTTTATTTTCCTCCTTTGCTTACCGTATTTTGTAAATTTTCTAGAATTAATATGTGTTGCTTTGGTACAAGAAAAATACATTTTACATTTTAAAATAAATAAAGGTTTCTGTAAATTAAGAAAGCTAAGTTCAGAATATCGAAGCAGCCTAGGTATGATGTGTTTCTCAGTCCTCACTCTAGCCACAGCACCTTCTTTGCACCTCTTTGTAGAAATCTTCGATGATCCAAACACAGGATTAGATACTTGCTTCTGTTCCACAATGAGGTCTAATAACTGTGAGTGATAAATTCAAAGATAGGAAAAAGGCATCCATTAGAATGTTTTTCTCTCTACCTGGGCGTAACGTAGGAGCTTCTCAGTGGCCTCAGGGTCTTTATTCCAGATGAGATCTTCACAGAGCTGCAGAAGGTCCTTATGGATATCATCGTACACAGGGAGGCTTCCAGCATTCACTATCCCCATGTCCATCCCAAACTAAGGGCAATAAAAAGAAAAATGAGGATTTCCACGTGATGCCCTAAATCAGGTATCTGCAAACTTTTTCCACAAAGAGCCAGATAGGAAATATTTTAAGCCGTGGGCTCTGTCACTACTATTCAACCTTGCTGTTGCGGCTGTAGATATGATATAAGTGAATAGGAGTGTCTTCGTCCCCATCAAATCTTATTTACAGAAACTGGCAGGAGGCCAAAGTTAGCCTGCGGGCCCCAGTTTGAAAATCCCTGCCCCAGGTACAAGCTGGTTTCAGCAGAGCAAACAGGTCTTCTGCCATACCTTGATTGCGTGGTACAGGAAAACCCCATGCATTGCTTCTCGAATGGCTTCCATTCCTCGGAAGGAGAACGACAAGTTGGAAAGACCTCCACTTACTCTGGCTCCAGGTAACGTGTCCTAGCAAAAATTTCAAAATGTGAAGAGATTCCCCTATTTTGGCAAAAGCGGCAATCACATCTCTTAAGCTTTATATAGGAATGGAAAGTAAAAAATATATATATAAAGTTCAAAGTAATTCAGAACTTCTTGTTACTAGACATAGACCGAAACTTGCCATATTATGTTGCCACAAAGGTGCTGCTTCACAGATGGTTTTTCCAACTAGACTCTAATCTCCCTAAAGAAAAATACAAAATTCTATTGTATCTCTGTGTACATCTACAGTAATCATGATAGAATATAATACATAGTGAGTGTTCCATAACATGTTTGCTGGATAAATGACAGGGAAAGAAAGACACAAGAGATAGCACATGCATATGTGCACACGCGTGTGCACACACACACACGCATGCATTCTCACACCCCTCACCTGTCTTATTCATTGAAAGCACTAGAAGGCTCCCATAGCCTAAATGAATAAACTTCCTAGTTCCCTATAAACTTGACCAACTATGAAGGGACAAAAGGAAACTGAGGTTTCCAGCACACCTATGATTACATGGAGCACCAGCAGGCATGTGGAATAACAGGAACTGTCACTTACTGCTGTTTCAAGGACAAACTGGCTCAAGCATTTAGGGAGACAGCTTGCTATTACCTACTACTATGACCCAACCATCCCACTTCGTGGGTACATGCTATGAGAAACTCAGGCACATGTGCCTAAAATACACATACAAGAATATTCACAGCAACATTGCTCATGATGTCCAAATGCTGGAAGCAAACCAGATGTTTGTCAACAGTAAACAGTGCATCGTAGTATAGTTATAAAATGGAATGTTATATATTAACAAAAATGAACAGCTACAATAAGACAGATAATTTTGTTTGTTTGTTTGTTTGAGACAGAGTCTCACTATGTTGCCCAGGATAGAGTGAGTGCCGTGGCGTCAGCTTAGCTCACAGCAATCTCAAATTCCTGGGCTCAAGCAATCCTCCTGCCTCAGCCTCCCAAGTAGCTGGGACTACAGGCATGAGCCACCATGCCCAGCTAATTTTTTCTATATATTTTTAGTTGGACAATTAATTTCTTTCTATTTTTAGTAGAGATGGGGTCTCGCTCTTGCTCAGGCTGGTTTCGAACTCCTGACCTTGAGCAATCCTCATGCCTCAGTCTCTCAGAGTGCTAGGATTACAGGCGTGAGCCACTGCGCCCAGCCCAGATAAATTTTTAAAATAAGCTTGAGTAAGGAAAAAAAAGCATAAGAATCTTATAATTCTATTTTTATTAAGCTCAAAAACAAGCAAAATTAAACCATATCATTTAGATATTCAGTCAATTCTTATTATTTTGTGGTAGTTAAGTTCTATAAAATCACCACAAACACTAAATTAGAGCATACAGAAGCATCGCTCCCAGAGGAAATACAGGGGCTCCCATCACAACATTTTTTATCAAAAAATCAATACATAACCTTGTTTTATGTGCGTGTGTTCAAAGATATCTCATTTAATATGTATTGCTGATTCATTAACATTGAATGCATGGCCAACAGCACTATAACTCATGCCTGAATGAAGCTTGTCTAAAACCCATATTTGCTCCATGAAGCACATCACAGCCCTCTTGCACTCAAGAACACTAGACGGCACTAGCACTATTCTTGGGGACCATTTTAAACACCGAAATCACCCACAAAAAGCACGAAAATGTGAAAACTGTGACATTACACAGACTGCTAAAAGGACATCTGTTTATTGAACGAGAGCTGAAATGAGCTGGCAAACTGTCGCCATGTTGCATCTCACGTGGGAACATGTGGGTCAGGCCACTCAGATTTTTCATCACTCTGCACATGGGTAACGTCCGTAAACAACTGCAGGGCTGCACGAGTATTGATTTGGGGGTCACAGATAAATTTTACTAAGTAGGTGAATTCACAAATACAAAATCCATGAATGATGCAAATAAAATGTATGTATAGAAGTGATAAAATTATGAAGAAAAGCAACAAAGTAGCATCATAAAATTCAGAATGAGGTGTAATCATAAAAGGAGAGATAAGGAGGCACTAGCCATGCTCTATTTCGGGACCTAAGTGATAGCTATTATATGCTTTATAATTAATTATTTATTATGCTCAATATGCATGTTTTATATATTCTTTTGTGTGTATATTACACTTCATAATTTAAAACAATATTATATAAATGGAAAAAAAAAAAAAAACCTAAAGGCTCCTACATTTCATTAAAAAAATATACGGGGCCAGGCGCGGTGGCTCACACCTGTAATCCTAGCACTCTGGGAGGCCGAGGCGGGCGGATTGCTCGAGGTCAGGAGTTCGAAACCAGCCTGAGCAAGAGTGAGACCCCGTCTCTACTATAAATAGAAATAATTAATTGGCCAACTAATATATATATATATATAGAAAAAATTAGCTGGGCATGGTGGCGCATGCCTGTAGTCCCAGCTACTCGGGAGGCTGAGGCAGCGGGATCGCTTGAGCCCAGGAGTGTGAGGTTGCTGTGAGCTAGGCTGACGCCACGGCACTCACTCTAGCCTGGGCAACAAAGTGAGACCCTGTCTCAAAAAAAAAAAAAAAAAAAAAAAAAAAAAAAAAAAAAAAAAAATACTAAGAACAAGAATGTTGAATGTTTATCACAGCACAATTCACAATTGCAAAGATGTGGAATCATCCTAAATGCCCTTCAATTTATGAGTGGATAAAGAAAATGTGGTTTATATATATCATAGAGTACCACTCAGCCATAAAAGGGAATGAAATAATGTCAATTGCAGCAACATGGATGGAACTGGAGACCAATATCCTAAGTGATGTATCTCAGGAATGGAAAACCAAACACCATATGTCCTCACTAATAAGTGGGAGCCAACAGACGGGCACACACAGGAACAAAGCGGTATAAAGGACATGAGAAACCAAGAAGAGGGGAGGGCAGGAGGGTGGGCATGGGATAAAAACTTACCTGTTGAGTACAGCGAACACTATTCTGATGATGGGCACACGAAAATCCCTGACTTAAGCATTAATAATTACAAGATATCCATGTAACTAACAAAAGCACTTATACCCCCCTTAATTAATACACTCAAATCAAAAAAATTTTAAAGAATGTAAAAAAAATCATTAAATGCATTTTGGAGTTATAACTCTCCACCACCACCAAAAAAACAAAGAATGTTAATTGTTGTTCAAAGTCATTCAGTCAATAAATATATGTTAGCTCTAAACATTCACTGGACCCAGGTGATACATTTGAGCCATGTCTTGGGCAGAAAAAATACTCACACTTACTTTAATGACTTTTGTTGCATGGATATAATTAATAGCATACAAGTTGTGTTCCTCCATCCCAGTACCAATGGTTAGGATATTAGGGTCAAAGATGATATCATTTGGATTAAAGCCCAGTTTTTTCACAAGTAGATGGTAGGCCCGAGTGCAGATGCTGATTTTGGTGTCTGTTTCTGTTGCCTGGGGAAAGGAACAAAAGATGTAATTTGAAAAAGAAAAAAATAAGTGCTATCTTTGGAAGGAAACAGCACCTATCACTTGCTGAAAGTACTCAAGTGTCAATGCTTGGGATTTCACAGAAACCCAAAGGCCAAGCAGCCTCTAATCATTTATCAAATTGTCTCATTGGAGAAATTGGTTTAAAGATCCCTTTCTGTTTTTACAAACAAGACAGCTATAGTGTTTATGTAAAAAATCAAATCTTACACACAAACATATAGGGTAAATGAGAAAATAGGCTTCTAAAAAATACATGCATATGATAAAAATTCAAACACTGCTAAAGAAGAGATTAAAAAATAAGTGTCCCTCCCTCTCTTGACCTGCCTGCAGTGTCTTAACCCTCCATCCAGGCGACACTGCCATCGCTTTCTTGGATCTTCCCACAATAGCAGTCTAAGTAGACTCAAGGCTATGTGTTTATTCCTCACCCCCATCCATCATAACTCGGCTTGTTACCATGTGCCTTAAGTCATAAGTACAAATTGGTATTACCCTTCAAGATAATGTCCCTAAGAAGGCAGAACACTGACTCCAGCAAGGCTCGTAGCCCTGGCTGCTTCCCATCATCCTCAGAATCTCGGTCTGCATCTCCAGGTTCATTTCCTGTCATTATTTGTCCCCTCCTCCACACCCTCGGCCCCCACTCCTTTGGTGTTCCTGAAACCTGGCCAGCTTGTTCCGACCTCAGAGCCTTTCATTTATCGCTGCCACTGCCCAGAACATACTGTGACATGGCTTTGTGCTCCACACCACTCAGGTCTCTGCCCGAACGTCCCCTTCTCGGAGCCTGCCTTAAATCACCCTCTCTCAGCCAGCCTTACCTCTACCTTTCCCATCTCTCCCGTTCTTCAGAGCATCTCTTTCTAGAAATTGTATTAAGTGGGCAACGTGTTTATTACATTTATTTGTTTTATTGTTACCGACCTCACAGTTCTTGGTCCTGAGTCAATAGAAACTGGCAAAAGACCAAAAAAGGAGTTTATACAGGCAAGGCTTTCTTTTTGCAGGGGGAGTTTTGCTCAAACAAAAGAGAGACAGTGCTAGTTAAGGAACAACAGGACTGGCTCTCTGAACAAAGGGCTGGGGAACTTTTAAAGAGGAGAGAAAGTTTGACACTAGCATTGAAATCATAGCACGTAGAGGGAGTTTTGTTGGCAGCTGACCATTCTCCACATATTGTATGTCTCATCAGCATGTTAACTCTCTACACTTGGGCATAATTTTTAGCATTAAAATGAAGCAAAAGGTCTACAAGTGGTCAACTTTGGGCTTCATCTTGATAGTAACCGGATTGTGCTGGCTTTGACTGAGGCCAGTGGACCCCTGCACCAAAGGGTGCCACGTCCTATTAAAGAGAGCGGGACCACTTTCTCTTGAAGCTGGTTGTTAATCATTTTCAAAGCTTTTGTTCAGTATTGTAAGCAAACTTAAGCTTTGGCTCAAGGCTCAGGCAGGAGGCCACAGTCCACCTCCTACACTACCTTATTATTACTTATTTGTCACTCATCTCCCCCACCTAGAATGTCAGTCCTGCTGTATCCTCAGTGCCCAGGGCAGGGCCTGTCAGAGTATGTGTGTTCGATACTGTTGTTGGACGCGTGCATACTGCTACTCAAAGCATTTCTGAACTTTGTCATGGACACGAACTGTCTTCAGATCAAATTTACAACTTCAACATACAGGTTATTCTGAATGAGTTTGGTTGTATGAAAAATCAAATCTACTTAAAAAAAAAAAGATTGCTTGCTCTCATTATGGTGATTCCAAAAAAAAAAAAAAGTCATATACAATTCTGAAGGTTAATTATGAATGTGAAAAATGCACTTGAAAAACGGCTGACCCCACTGAAATACGTGCTGCAGTCTTCCACAGAGAGGAGCAGTTGAGGATGCTGACATAGCTCAAGAACATCTAGTAAGGCCCCACACTCCAGAAAATAGTGGGAGAATTACACAAAGAACTCACTGGTACACCTAGCCTTTTGATCACTCACCTACTTTGGTATTCTTTCTCAACTGTTCTCTTTGGTCTCTAACTGCTCCCTGCAGCTGGTAGGGCAAAATTTCACCTCCTACTTGGGAAGTGTTCCCATGACTTTGCAGACCAAGGGGCCCGGAGAAAAGGAGATGGGGAGTGGGCTTTGCAGCCCCACCGTACCAGACTTTAAGGGAGGTGGCAAGCTCTTATCTTCCGTAATGGGATTTCTTCAACAACTTACTTCTGCTGCCTTCAGTTAGAGTGATAAGGTTAAGGTTGAGACTGAGATGTGTGCCCAGAAAAAAAGCATTCAAGAGTAGGTTATCCACAGGTGTCTTTGGTCTTGGACTTTAAAAGTTTACCCTTCACCAGAGAGCCAAGTAAGAGTTCTAGGCTCTAGGTTCATGGCCCAGCTAAGCTCACTAAGAGAAAAGGCACAGGAGTGACCAGTGCTACTAGTATTTCTTAGTAACCTAGTCTGGTTGGTAAATGAAGTCAAGGTCCTAGTCATTTCTCTCTCTGAGTTACAAACAATATCTGGCCAAGTTGGGCAGGTTGAGGTGAGCAGTATGTCACCTCCAGGGGAGTAGGGTGTGGGGTTCAGCTATGTACCAAAGACAGCACTGCATGTGGGGCAAACAGTGACATCCTCACAGGACAGGAATTCATTTCTAGGGCCAGAATAGAGTCACTAGCAACAACCCCTGAAAGGACAGAGCCCTTGTCAAATTGCTCACGCTGCACCTGGCATAGTTAGTATCTACCCCATTAACACACACTCAACCTCTGTCTGTTGAATGAACAAATGAATCTCAGAATGAACAGAACGTTAGTGTACAGGCCTTTGCCAGAAGCAGGTCATAGCATGTCAGCTTCTCCAAGGTTCCCTGTCTCACTCCTCAGCCAGGGCTGTGAGACAGACATACTAATAAAGCCTCGATCATGCCCATGCATTTCACAGATCCACAGTAGAAGTTCAGCAAAACAACAGAATGGTAGGTTCTCCTACATCAAGAAGGGCTCTCAACCCTAGCTGCGTATTATGATAACTGGAGGGATTTTTGTTCGCTTGCTTTTTAATACTAATACCTTAGCCTAGACCAGTTAAATCATAATCTTGAGATGAGGCCTAGGCAACAGTATTTTTTAGAAGCCATTTAGGTTGCTAATGCATAGCCAAGATGAGAACCACTGATAGGTGAAATGTGGCACTTTCTTAGGTTGGGGTAGAGGGAAAGTCAGTGACAATCTAAGGGGCAAGAAGAAAGGAATCAATGTCTTTTATGACTTTATCAACCAGGTCTACTCTTAAGCGACAGAGAAGCTACACAGTGAAAACTTCTGGACATTTAAAGACAAGGTTGTTTTAAATGTCACCCTCTATGAGGAGATCCAAGTTCCGTGGGGAGTGAGATGGAAGAAAGACAGAGAAAGTCTTAACCCATGTATCAATCCCCGGATAGAACAGAGGACGGATGGGCTTTGGTGCCTCCAAGCACGGAGGACACAGGGGGACGCAGCGGGGACGCAGCAGGAACGGACGACTCACAGGAACAGCAGAAAGACTGATTACTTATAGAGACATATTTTAAACCAACACCCAAAAATATATTGATAAGACCTATAAACTATGCTCTAGCTTTGCCTTCCTTTTAATAACGTGGCCCTAAATCTGAATTCTATCCCCTGCTTTTCCCACCTTCCAGGAATCCAACCGCCCTGGATTCCCCTGCCTCGTCGGGTCTTCCTCCCACCTTTATCACAACCCAAAAGCAGCTGAACCCTGCAAGGAGCTGAGCCCCCTACCAGCACTCACTGGTCCTCAGTGTCACAGCCCAGGACCTGACATGGGAGGCTTACGATACAAAACCACGCTTGCCCTTTCTACATGGGCTGCCACAGCAGAGAAAAGGAGGGGCAGATAAAGAAGCTGCTCTGGCTTAAGAACGGGATTACCCAGCCCAGTAAGACTTTTTTTTTTATTTCAGCATGTTATGGAGGTACAAATGTTAAGGTTACGTATATTGCCCACCGCATCCCCTCACCCCCCTCGAGTCAGAGCTTCAAGCATGACTATCTCCCAAACGTAGCACATCTTACTCATTGTGTTTGTATATACCCATCCCCTCCTCCCCAACACCCAGTAAGTCTTTGCCGGGGATTTTTAGCAGCATTCCTGTCCTCTACCTACCAGATGTAAACAGCACTCTTCACCCCACCACCGTCGTGACAATAAAAACATCTCCCTAGACTTTGCCAAATGTCTCCTGTAGTGGCAAAATCAGTCCAGCAGAGAGCGACTGGTTTAGAGTGATCATAGTGACACAGCTGATAAGGAAGTCACAATCCAGACTCATCTGCATAATCACCATGATGACGCAGGGCTCCATGGTAGCTTTCTCTAGACTCTACAGATAGATGCTGTTTGCAGAAAGATGCTACTTAATGTCAAATATGAAGGCCTGAATGAAGTTATACCATATCCTAACAGGGGCAAACTGAACCTACTCAATTCTCTTTTAGACAAAGGGACGCCAGGAGCATGCTGGGGAGCTGGGACACCAAGCTTGGGACGCAGGCCTACTACATGCTGTACTCTTATTCCTGGGGGACAACTGGACATCCCAGGCTCCGGAGGTCTGAGGGACAACAGTGGCTTGGAGGCCTTATATTGCTCATATCCCTGCCATAAAACTCCATCTCTGAAGGTGATCTAGGTATGTCTCTTTCTAATAAGCAAAGAATTTAAAATATAATCCATCTTATAGGGAAAGGCCCAGAAATAGAAATATTCAATCATGTACTCTTACGCAGGAGTGGTGACCTACCTGCAGCCACTAAAAGGGAGGCCCTTAAAATGCAGAAATAAATGTCAGATTTCCACAAAGTTCAGAGAAAGTCAGAGGAGAAAATTTGAGAATCTACTCCTAGGCCTGGGTCAATTACCTTCTGCAAGGTAAAAATCAAGGGAAAACTAAAAA